TTTTAAGTAGATAAACGATATGCAAAGAATTGTTTTTGAAATTATGCTCAGTGGTTTAATATGAAAACAAAACTCTCCATGTCTTGGCTTGCTATGACATCGTACCAAGACCCGGTCAACCAAATACGGAAATACGGAAGTATCATTTGAAGCCCACCTCACATCTATCCACCCTCAGTCTCATACTAGCCCTCTGCTTACCTTGATCCTGTGTACCAGAGGAGCAAACAGAAACACAAAGAGCTCCACAGTAGCCATGGAGTTCTGGAAGATCTTCCTTCGGTTACTCTCTTCTTCATCATTGGAGCTGCTTTGGCAAGGCTGCCCCGGGGAACCCTGATTTTCTACCTGGTGGATGAAAGCACTGCTGCTGCCACCCCAGCTGGAGCCACGGTCTGTGCCCCCAAACCGCTCACTGTTGCAGTCCTGAGGGGCCTCCAGGAGCATCCAGTGCAGGGTGTGAAGGAGCTTCGTCTCAGCAACACCCAGTTTATCCTGGTGGCCTGCATGGGGACAACCACAGAGCCAGGTTAAGGCCAACTCTGCTACCAGAACAATAGATATCCACTTTTGGTCTGGGAAGAACATTCTTGCTTTGCTCTGTGGTTTGATTTCCTGGGAGACACTGGCATTTCTCTGCATGTCTTACAACCACTGCTAGAAGGGCTCATTCTTGTTTTGGGGCTTTCTAACTGGTTAAAATCTCTGTAGAATAACATACTGCCATAGGGGCATCACATGTCTTTAGTCAAATATATATATGGAAAATAGCATGTAGAGAGTGTATGCAAACATTGGGTGGATGTTAGGACATGTTACCATGTGATAAAAGCAATCTGTAAAATAATCTAAAAAAGGGGAAGAATCTTTATGCACATGCAGGCACATACACTCAGTACTACAAAGTGCAAGGGGTCGCTTTGGCAGTTGAGAGGGTAAAGGAGACACATCTGATTGGGACTCATCTTGGATGGGTGATAGTCTTTGGCTTCCCTATAATCTTCTAATGTTTAAAAGGAAAATATAGGGATGCCTGGGTGGCTTAGTCGGTTAAGCGTCCGACTTTCGCTTAGGTCATGATCTCGCGGTTCGTGGGTTCGAGCCCCACATCGGGCTCTGTGCGGACTGCCAGCTCAGATCCTAGAGCCTGTTTCAGTCTGTGACTCCCTCTCTCTCTGACCCTCCCCTGCTCATGCTCTCTCTCTCTCTCTCTCTCCTAGAAATAAAACATTAAAAAAATTTATAAAAGGAAAATATATTCACATCTTGCTTGAAACAAAAGAAACAGTTCTTTCCTTGGTAAGATGGAGATCATAGTGGTATCAAAGGGAGGGGGCTTTTGTGAGGATTAAATGAGACTGTGTGTGCACAGTGCCTAGGAAAACAGTGAGTAGCCAGTAAATGTTGTTACCATGCGGGTAGTAGGCCACACGCCATGAAGAAGTAATGCAGAAGAACCAACCTAACTTGTTCCTGTTGGAAAGCAGGGTTGCCGTGCAGTGGAGGACGTGAGGCAAAGCAGCTTGTACCAGCTCCCACCTGGAAATGCTCTGGATGGCTTCAGAGAGGGCTGGAGAAAGGCCATGCAATTTGTTTTCTACCAACACTCGTTCAAAGGACTGTAGATACCAAAAAAGAAGAAAAAACGTAAAATAAGGAATTAGAGATATTGATTGACGAGAAAATGGACACCAAGGTATTACAAGATGCAAATGGGTGGAGGAGATATTTTCGAGGGCACTCCCACTGCATTTCATTGTATATGTTGACATATAATGGGTCAGTGAGAATTTCTTTTTACCCATTTTAGGCGTTTGATTTAAAATACACGATTTGAATTATTAAATGATTTTTATTTCCACCTAAATAAGCTTCCTCTTTAAAAAAAAAAAAAAAGCACAACAACACATTTCAGTCATGAGTTCTTGGATGTAATATTTTATAAAATTTTGCTGAGGCATCCAAAGGGTCTGTGACAACGGAAGAACAAAGTAAAATGGCTTTTATGAAAGTGTTTGAGGACCGAATTTAGGTCAATTTTCAACAAGTGTTAAATAAGATACAATTCTTTCAAGAAATCTGACTTTGGGGTCTCTGAATTATTCCATGGCCGTAGCAACAACCTGGGACAAGACATCCTTATCTAATGCCTGTCACCATAAAAATACCTAACATATCTGTTGAATAAAGAAAGAAAGGGAGGGAGAAAAGAAAGAATGGAAACAAGCCATAAGCTTTGCTCATTTATTAAATCTCCTGTCTTGTTCAGGGAGTGAAGCTTCCCAGAAATGTGACCTACTCAGTGTCTGTTGTTGTTGTTGTTTGGATGAGGAGGGTATCACTATAAGGTGTTAGGGGAGGTATAGCTACCAAATATTAAAATAAATTTAATAAGTATTTGTCTCGTAAGAACTTAACCTGATTGCTGCTTGATGCCACAAGTGACCAAGAAGATTGTGGAGGTGTGGTCTAGAGTGATCATAATACAAGTTCTAAGTATTCAAGCTGTATTATTGATATTATTAGGATATCAGAGCAAAAGACACTACTTAATACAGAGATTCTCCAAAGAAATCTAATTACTTTTTGACTCAAAAAAGGAAAATAAGAAATTTACCCTCATAACAAAAGTTATGCTGAGGATTTGATATGGGGTAAAAACAGAGATACAGTCTTTTTTTCTTTTTAACTAAATAAAGACAGATCCAAATGCTTTTAAATTCTTCAGCCCTCAGGTATCTAAGCATTCATTATATAAAGGGTGAGTATGTTGGGCATTAAAAGGTTATAAGGAATTTATGCAGTCTTGTTGAAAACATATTAGAGGATGAATTATATAATAACAGATAACTCTGGGTACTTAATGTCATTTTCTTCTTAAATGTTACTAATATAACGCTTTATTATTTTTCAAACCCTTAAAATTATTTTCTATATTTTTGTTTCCCTATTTATGTGACTTAGTTATTTTATATTGAGTGACTATATTAAAAATGTCAGACATATCTTTGCCGAGAACAGGAAAAAGTCAGAATTATTTTAAGTTAGTATAATTGTAAGCATGATTTATAGAAGGCCCAGAGGTTTTTGAAGTGTCAAATTACTCTGACTTGAGCTAAGTACAACAAGAAATTCCATTAAAAGGTCCTTAGGAGAGAATTATATTTTAAAAATATCCTTGTGGCAACTTTGAAGGGCAGGCGATACAAAAAAACAAATTCCTATTTGAGTGTGTGTGCCTGTGTGTTTAACTCTTTAGGTGGCTTTGACCAGTTTAAAAAAAAATGTTTATTTATTTATTTTTGAGAGAGATAGAGAGTGGGAGTTGGGGAGGAGTAGAGAAAAAGGGAGAGAGAGAATCCCAAGCAGGCTCCACGCTATCATCACAGAGCCTGATGCGGGGCTTGATCTCATGAACTGTGAGATCATGACCTGAGCCAAAATCAAGAGTCGAATGCTTAACTAACAGAGCCACCCAAGCACCCTGGCTTTCATCATTTTTAAAGCCCCTAACACATTTCCATACTCCTTACTAGAAGGTCATCTATGTAGTCATTGGCAAATATTCATGGCAATGTCCAAACGGGTAGGTGTTAATATATGAAGTGTGAAGACCTTTACCTGAGCTTCAAATTTTAATGAAACCTGTGAAAAGTTTATTTCATTTTGCCTCATGATTTCATGCCTTTTGTTTTCAATTTGTGAAGTGGGAAATTTTAGAGATAGGGGATTCCCTTAGAATCTCAGGACAAGTGTACTCTATAGGATATAAATTCTGAGAGCATTACTTTCATAATTATTTTACATCATCTATTTTCCGACTTGCACCAAACATTTAAGACATAAAGGTTCAGAACTGCATATTACCTTGAGTAGTTCATAGGTACTCATCTCATTAGCTTCCTCTAGAACAGTCTCTATTTTGTTTAAGGATTGGGCTTACTGTGCCTGCCCTGTAAGACCCTGGAATCTCGCCACCCTTTCTTCTCCTCCTCTGCCCCTATCCACTCTGGGCTAAGGTCCTTTAGATGTGCTGTTCCCCTCTTTTCTTTCTTATTCCTCCGTCCCCTTTTCCCCACATCTTTGTCTACGAGTCACATTGGCAGGGAAACCTTACTATCCACTGCTCTAAACATGGAAGCCGCCCCCTCCTCCAGCTGCCAGTGCCTCCAGTCTGCTTTGTTACCTCATTTTTCTTCATAGTATCTATCACTATCTGGCTTATTATGTATGTTATTTATTTGTGAGTCGCTTGCTTCCTCCCACCAGAATGTAAACTCTATGTTTTGATTATTGCTCTATCCCATCATTTAGAACTATGCCTAGCACATAGTAGGTGCTCAATAATATTTACTGAGTGAATTAATCTATACAGTCAGTACAATTTAATGCCTTTCCTTGGTTAGAAATTGCCACACAAAATATGGAAATAATCATTAAATGGTGAATATCACATACCACACATGAGGCTTCATATTGTTTCCCCAGTTTAGGCCTCAAAAATGCACTGAAAAATTAATAGAGATATTTGTTATAAGTAAAAATTATAATCTTTATGACATTTTTTTCAACGAGTAAGACATGGTTCTATAAAACTCAAATCTCATGCCTCCCTATAGCCTGTTAATGAGCAGGTGTTGAACAGCTGACGACATTTGCTTTTACATGTGTAATTACATATATGAAAGAGATGTGGCTCTCCACATTTTCTGTATCCACTCTTATTCTGCAGACTTTGACCTAACCAGATTCTAAATTGCCAATGGTCGGGAGTGGTATACGACCCGTGGATGTAATTATATTAAAAACTAAAAAGGAACACAGTTTGTGGGTTATGATTTCCAAAATCTAATTTGTTATCTGATACATTTCCAAAATAGTAATAATAATGATAATATTAATAATAATAACAATACTGGAAATCTTGTTTCCTGTTTATTGGAATAGGTTTCAGGTCTTTTCAGGAAAAAAAAAATCTTATAAAAAATCCTCCTCCTCAGGGTCTTGAACCAAGAAGACTACATTGGCTGAATCCGAGCAAAAATGGTTAACAAGTGGGCAGAGCAGATATTCGCCAAACAGGAGCTGGAAAAACAACAGGTCACCGGCCTGGAATTACAGCAGGAGATGGAGGGGAAATCGGACGCAAGAACACGACCAGTCAGAATTACCCTCCCTAGTTCCCCGCCCCCTCTTCCTAAGCTTTCTGCCCTCCCACCCCCTAAATAATGTATATATTTATTCAACTGCCAATCTGCTTGTCGCCAAACTTCACGAAATATTTTTAAAATGCGTGTTTTTAAGCAGGTGCTGAGGGCTCGCTTTCCAGCCCCAGAGAGGGAGCTGCAGGCTGTGGCGCGGCCTCAGCAGCCGTGGCAGCAGTGGCGGTGACCCGCGCGGCCCCAGGAGCGCCCCCAGCCCCGCGCGGCCCGCGGCGCGCCCTCCGCGCCCCTCACCTGGTTTGCCGCCACAGGAAGGTCTGGATGGGCAGGGGGATGCCGCGGCCGCTGTCCTGCTCCTGGCCCTCGGAGCTCTTCCTCTTCACCATGATGGTGGCTCCTGAGAGTCCTACTGCAGGACCCAGCGCTGGCTCCCGGCTAGCCGCCGCCGCCGCCGCCGCCTCCTCCCGCTGCTCTCCCCAACTCTCATCCCCTCCTTCCCCGAGGCAGAGCCGGCTCTCTCCGCCCTGATCCCCCGTCCCCCTCTCCTTCCCCCACCCCTCCCCGCGCGTGGAACATGGCTGCGGGAGGAGGGGAGGGCCGGAGGAGCCACGGAGCGGGGAGGGGAGCGCTCGGAGGAGCTGTCCGCCTCGCCGCCCCCGCGCCCGCTCCTTGCTTTCAGTACCTCCCACTGTGGACAGCGGCCCGCGCCGGACAGCCCGGCGGCAGAGCAGGGCAGGGGACAGGGTGAACCTTGAACCGCAGCGGGGTGGCCCGAAAGGTCCACGCTCCGCATTGCACGCTGATGCCCTCGGCCTCTTCAAGCCCCAGGATTCGGCTTCCTTCCTTCCGAGCTGCACCCCAGGAGTGTCACCTGTCCTGCTTCCCAACCTCAGCGTCCAAAGAATTGTCACGGCCTGGGGAGGAGGAGCTTTCAGAAACTGCAGAAGAGTCACTAACCCTGGCATCATTCACACCTCTAGCAAGGAGGTCAGGAGTCCACCCTTGGGTTTTAGCAGCAGGAGCACATGAAAACTATTCGGAGTGTAAACAAGGAAGAGATCAAGCCTGGCAAGACAGAGAAAGCTTGAAAGTTTTCTAATGTGAGAAATTATTTTAAAATGGTAACCACAAGAAATTAACCTTGCTCATTTTGCTAAAGCAGGAATATCCTCAAACTAAGCAGTTGCGGGCATCAGTTAATTATAAATTGAGGAAGAACATTTGAATCGTGCTATTACGAAATGCTGTTTATTATAGTCCATTAATGTCCTTGGGTGACCCTGTTCATCCCAATGATATTTGCCATTTTCCTTCAGTTGTCATAGTCAAATGTCTATATAGTTAATAGATGGATTTCTGTTAGGTGTTTTATCTAGCAGCAAAACAAATGGGGGTGGGGTGAAATGAAGGCAGTTGGAGTAGAAAATCATTGCTGTGAACCCAACTACCTGCAAACAAATATAGTCACACACCTCTTTGAACAAAATATTGGTCTAAGAGTAGAGGCTTAGACCACAGAACCTGATCTCAAGTTAGAAATATTTCCAGTGTAATTAACTACAAGTGCATCTACTCCATATAGAGAGAATTATATGCTATATATTAGTATTTTCAGTCACAAATTTAAATTATGCATTTAATACCTTGAAGTAATCTTTTAATAGGAATTTTGAAACAAGGAAAGATAGATTCAAAATACAGTTTTTTCAATGTATATTTACTGAATTTATTTTATATGCCAAGTATCATGCTATATAGATTCTTGCTCATAAAGCACTCACGGCAGTGAGAGGAATATAGACATGTAAAGAAAGGGGTACCCTGGAAGATATGACACAGATTCACTTATAAACAAAGGAACAAGGCAGAAAATATGAGCAGAAATTGAATGGAGAAAGATTTTCTATGGCAAGCTACAAAGTTTAGATAAGAAAGACTTTAAGTAGGGCAGTAAAAATGTTGCTTCTATTTAAATGTGACAGATATATGACTGGGATGTAGAGGTCATTTTAAACAAGCAAGAGTGGTAGATGGGAACCCCAGTCTGGAGATCAGAGAAATATTTCATGAGATGCTGAACTAAGGCTATGATAGCAGAGCTAGAAATAAGGAGGTAATTTTGAATGATATTGCAGAGGTATAATTAGTAAGATTCAATAACCAAGCAGGAATGGGGAGAGAAAAATAGATGGAACAGTGATTAAGAGCTTAGATCATGAGCCAGACAGTTTTGTCTCTAGCACTAGCTTGTCCTAGGTATAATACCCTGGTAAAGGTTCTTGGCCAAGGTCTCCAAATAATAGTACCTTTCCCATAGAGATGCTGTTAGGATTAAATGTTAATACTTGTAAAGAATTTAAGAGATTCTCTAATCTGTAGTAAGCCTTCAATAAATATCAAGCAAACCTAAGTTTTCTATTTTGTGCAACTGAATAAATGACAATCTCATTCAAAGAAAAAGTTGACAGGGAGAATTACGTTCTTATTTTAGGTATGTGTATAGAAGCATTAATGAGTTTTCCTTAAGTCTCCATTGGAAATTCCAATTGATACCATGAAGAGGCATCTAGAAATATGAGTATGGAGTTCAGAGGAGTTCACTAGGTAGGACAGATCAATTTTTTGTGGTTTACACTGTATAAAAAGTAGTTGAAACCATGGAAGTAATTAAAGTAATCCAGGCAAATATATGGAAAGAGAAAAAAGAGAGAGAGCCCAATTTATAAGTCTAGGGGACATGAACTTTAGTGCATTTTCACAAGTTGACAGCATGGGATAGATTAGTGGGATAGGCAGAGTTCTAAGAGGACCCCCAAGATTCCCACCATCTGGTATACATAAGTACCTTCTACCAGTTACTCAATCAAATACTAATTTAGGTGCTTCTGTGAAAGGATTTGTATAAAGCTTAAGGTTTTAAAAATTATTTAAAAACATTCTTAGAGCAGTTTTAAGTTTACAGAAAAATTAAACCAAAACTACAAATAGTTCTTTCTTCTAGTCCAGTTTCTTCTATTATTAACAACTTGCATTGGTGCAGTACATTTATTATTCCTGATGAACCAATACTGATATGTTATTATTAACTAAATCTATAAAAGTCACTATATCTATTGTACAGTTCTACAGATTTTGCCAAATAATGTCCTGCATCCATCATTATGAATCATAAGAACAGTTTCATGTCCTAAAAATCCTCTGTATTTTACCCATTCTTCCCTCCCTAATCCCTGGCAACCACTAATGTTTTTATTGTCTCTATAGCTTTACCTTTTCCAGAATGTCACATGGTTGAAATCACATAGTACATAGCCTTTTTAGATTGGCTTGTTCACTTGGTAATATGCATTTAAGTTTCCCCTATATGTCTTTTTGTGACTTGTTAGTTCATTTCTTCTTATTGCTGATCAACATTTCATTGTATAGATGTACCATAGTTGGTTTATTCATTCATCTACTGAAGGACATCTCAGTTGCTTTCAGTTTTTGGGCAATTATGAATAAAGATGCTACAAATATTTCATGTGCAGGTTTCAGTGTGGATGTAAGTTTTGAACTGGTTTGGTTAAATACTGAGGAGTACAGTTGCTGGGTTGTATTTTAAGACTATGATTAGCTTTGTGAAAACTGCCAAACTAGGGGTGCCTGGGTGGCTCAGTCAGTTAAGCATCCAACTTTGGCTCAGGTCATGATCTCATGGTTCGTGGGTTCAAGCCCCACATCAGGCTTTGTGCTGACAGCTAGCTCAGAGCCTGGAGCCTGTTTCAAATTCTGTGTCTCCCTTTCTCTCTGACCCTCCCCTGCTCATGCTGTCTCTCTCTCTCTCTCTCTCTCAGAAATAAATAAAACATTTTTAAAAACCTACAAAATTATCTTCCAAAATGGCTATATGATAGAGGTTTTTCAAAAATTTTTAATGTTTATTTATTTTTGGGAGACAGAGAGAGAGAGACAGAGCATGAGAAGGGGAGGGGTAGGGAGAGAGGGAGACACAGAATCCAAAGCAGGTTCCAGGCTCCGAGCTGTCATCACAGAGCCCGATGTAGGACTCAAACCCATGGACCACGAGATCACAACCTGAGCCAAAGTAGGACACTCAATCAACTGAGCCGCCCAGCCATCCCTAGAGTTTTTTTAAAAAAATAGGAGACTTGAACATATTTATGGGCCAGAATTAAGAAGTCATGGAAGAAGAAACTATTGAGGCTATTTGAGAGAGGGTATAAAAGTTAACAAGGAGCTGGAGGATATTATATCTGACACACAGAAGGATTAACCATTCTTTGGTGGAGGAATAATTCCTAAGAGGGGAGATAAAAAGGAAGAATGGTAGAAAAAGAAGGATAAGCATGGGACATAATGTAGGCTTGATGGCCTATGTAAACTGTAAAGTAATCAATATGGTCACTTTTTAAGAGTGATATTTGATTTTGGAGGAATAATGACACTTATCAGAAAATATTAATAGCAGATAACATATATTGAATATTTGTTACATGTCAAGGTCTGTTTTAAATGTATCAATTGATCAAAAAAACCCCCACAAAACCCCAAAACTCTACTATAAACATTTTAATAAGAGAAACCTGAGACACAGGAAGGTTACATAACCTGCCTGAAGTTACACAGTAGGTAATGAAAGAAACAGTAAAGCCAGCTTTAAAAATTCTGCCCCAACTTTTTAGTATAATGCTAAGTGTTGTGTAGTTGTGAGAGTTTGGAAAAATTGCTATGAATCATGTAGGTGAGCACTGCTCAAGGACAGATGCAAGAATTACCCTGTTGGTGATACAAGATGAAGAAGAGCTAATAATTCTAATCCCAAATGACCTTAAGGCACTGAGTCATTTAAGGATGGAAGAAATCTATAATAAGCACTTTCAAGATTAGTTTTCAGAATCACATTTTAGTGGAAAAATCAAGACTACCATGATGGTTTACATCTCCTATGCCTATTGAAAACCTCCAAGTAATTTTTGGCTTTTGGGAAAAAACCTGCCCTCCTTAAAATGCTTTTATCTACACTGCCTTCTGCCATGCATTTCTTTTTCAATTTAGATGAACACTGTTGGAGGGAAGC